TTCAGGGACTTTTTATTTTATTGCATTTTTTCACACGCATCATAGGGCATTTTGTGTAAATCTACCATGTCAAAATATGACTTTTTTTCCTTTGATTTTAAACACAAAATATCTACATAGGAGTATGTTTTGGGGCTTTCTATTGTATTTGGAGGTATTTTTTTGCATTTTTCACAAACAACATAGTATAGTAAGACATTTTGTGTCAACAAATTTGAATTTTTTTCCTCTGATTTTAAACACAAAATACTTACACAAGAGCATGCCTCCAAATGCATTTTATTGCACTTGGAGGGATTTTAGGGATTTTATTTTTATTTTTTTTTTTTTTTTTTGCGGTGTTGTTCAGTGGTGTTTTCGGCCAAAAACCGAAACACCAAAAGAAATTATTATGCCAGTTATTAATACCATTGCATTTATGGCTCTGCACTAAACTTCAATAAAATCAAGGCACTGCAATTCCACAAATTAATATGAATGTTTCAAAGAATAAAACAATTACAAAATTATAAAAATATCTATTTAGCACATTCCAACAATGCAACAAAATTAAATTAAATTGAAAATAAAATGTTAAACTTGACCCCACTTATGTGTACATTAAATGATAATGTACAGGCCTAATGGTCTGCTGAAAGATTGAAAAATGAAATATGCTCTCTCATAAAAACACAATGTGCATTTAAGTCAATTGCATTTTAACATTTTCTCAGTAGGACTACTACAACAAAGTGCATTCAGAACAAGTGTAACTGCTCAAAGATACAACAATATTTTCTCTGTAGACCTACAACATAATAGTGTAATGTAAATAATGTAAATACATTAATGGTACATCATTGTCCCATAGCCCATATATCAACTGTAGGCCTTTAACAACAACTAATGGACCAAAAACACACTTGACAAGCCTGTCACAGCTTGGATCATTTCTCGTGGCTGCTGCTTTATTCCTGCATCCAAGTATTGATCTTTATAACGTGAACCAAGTAGTCGTGACAAAAAGGATCCAAATAGATCTGAAGCGTGTACTGACAAGACTCTGTGAGTGTACTTTTCTTTGTTTTCACTCCGTTGTCTGTCGCAACCTTGCTTAGAAGACGCTTTAGTAGTGCGATTAAAAGAATAGCATCTGCTACAGATGCGTTAGAGAAGCTGATCTCTTTAGTAAGCTGCTCAAACGGAGCTAGAGGAGAGAGGATGTTCTCTATTAAGACCCACTGGTGTGAAGTGAATGTTGTGAGAAGCTTGTGGTCTGCGCTGTATACAGCCAAGACTCGTTTTTATATTATATTTTATATAAGAGGTTTTATATTCAGTGTATCCCTAGTCGGCAGCAGTGACCGCATATACATTTTAATTTTCAAGCATGCAACTACATACATAGTAATGACATTCATCACTTTCACCATCCAATCAAACATGTCAAATCACCAACGTAACTCTACTAACTGTAATATACATGTAAATACATTAATGGTACATCATTGACTCTGATACTGCTTAAGCCAGCAGAGAAGGCCTTGTCGGCCTTGACAGTGCACTACTGTCCGTATGTATCTACTATGTACATAGTAGGTGTTCTTGGGAAGGCCAAGAACACCTACAAGGAGAAGCTTGAGGAGCAGCTGGGGCAGAACAAGACGTGTGATGTTTGGAGGGGCCTGAAGAACATCACGGGTCATGGACTGAGTGGAGCCAGCGACACACCAGGGGGTGACCAGAGATGGGCCGATGAACTGAATGAGTTCTTCAACAGATTCGATCAAAGGCCCCCACCCCCCTCCTCCACCACTGCTTCCACCTCTTCACACTTCTCCTCACCAGCGACCACAGCTACCATCCCCCATCTAAACCACCATCCACAACACCTCTCACCTACACCCCTGCCCCCCAACCCCCAGCTGTCAACCTCCCCTCACTCCCCTCTCTCCCTGACATCTGAGCAGGTGAGGAGAGAATTAAGGCGACTAAAGAACAGGAAAGCTGCAGGACCAGATGGAATCAGCCCTAGACTGCTCAGGAACTGTGCTGACCAACTCTGTGGGGTGGTCACGTACATCTTCAACCTGAGCCTCAGTCTGGAGAAGGTTCCGTCCCTGTGGAAGACCTCCTGTGTGGTTCCAGTCCCGAAGACATCGCACGCCAGGGAGCTGAACCACTACAGACCCGTCGCCTTGACCTCCCACCTGATGAAGACCATGGAGAGGCTGATCCTCAGTCACCTGCGCACAGAGGTGAGCTCTGCGATGGACCCGCTGCAGTTTGCCTACAGGCAGAACGTTGGGGTGGATGACGCCGTCATCTACCTTCTGCACCGGGCGCTGACTCACCTGGAGACCGCCGGGAGCACTGTGAGAGTCATGTTCTTTGACTTCTCCAGTGCTTTCAACACCATCCAACCGGCGGTGCTGCGCAGGAAACTGGTGGATGCAGGAGCAGGGGAGCAGCTCGCCGCGTGGACCACCGACTACCTCACAAACAGACCCCCCAAACCTTCCTGCGGGTGGTGAGTCCACTGGAAGATATTAACCGCCCTAACCGGGATTCGAACTTGTCCAGGAGGTGAACCCTGGGGTTCCAGACCAATGACAGAGACATTGCCTCTGGGCCAAAGCGCCACCTATCTATCTATCTATCTATCTATCTATCTA